GAGGCAGCGGGGGCCAAACGTGAGCTGGGGAGAGGAGAGGAGGAACCCAGGGAGCTGAAGCTCGAGGGGTGGGGGGAGGAAACCCACGCAGAAAGCAGGGGGGAGGGGAGGCTGAGCGGGGAGACGGGCGAGGGACACTGCAGCGAGCGTGTGGGGAGGGGGAGGCTGAGTGGGGGAGACGGGCGAGGGACACTGCAGCGAGCGTGTGGGGAGGGGGAGGCTGAGCGGGGAGACGGGCGAGGGACACTGCAGCGAGCGTGTGGGGAGGGGGAGGCTGAGCGGGGAGACGGGCGAGGGACACTGCAGCGAGCGTGTGGGGAGGGGGGAGGCTGAGCGGGGAGACGGGCGAGGGACACTGCAGCGAGCGTGTGGGGAGGGGGAGGCTGAGCGGGGAGACGGGCGAGGGACACTGCAGCGAGCGTGTGGGGAGGGGGAGGAGTGGAGAGGAGGACCCGGGGAGCAGCAGCTGGACTGGGGATGCAAGCGGGGGAGGGACAATGAGGAAACCCCACATGGAGCAAGCAGTGGGGAGGCTGAGCAGAGAGAGGGGGGCTGGGGCCAAAAGCAAGAAGGGGGAGGAGGTGAGGAGGAAGCCCATGCAAGGAGCAGGAGGGTGCCGAGCAGGGAGTGGGGACTGGACGGGGTGAGGGGCCAAGCAAGGAGGGAGCCAAGTGGGGAGGAGAGGAGGAAAGACCCAGCAAAGCAAGCAGCAGGAGCACAGTGGGGATCCCCGGAGAGGGAGTTGAGTCTTGGAGACGGCGTGCATAAGACCACCTGCAGTGTACCTCGAAGAAAAGGAAAACTTTGAAACTGAAGCTTGAAGACAAGAAAATCGCTGTTATCTTTGATGGCCTGAACATCTCTCAGGATCAGGATAATGAAGGCCTGGGGTCCTGGGAGACGGTGGGGGTGGCAGCCATGAGATGCTTGCTCCAGTAGGTAATTCTCCCCCCGGCCCTTTACCCCCCAGTCTCTTTCTTTAAGGCCCCCAGAAGGAAGTGGCGGATGGAACAGCCCATCCCCCGTTATCCTGTCCACCGTTAGGCCTGATTTCAAACACACCAGTTTTGGTTCATTGATTTCCAGTTCCACATCTTCTTCTTTACCAGGCTGGATCTTAACACTGCCCTTGAGTTATATCAGGAGCTGTTTATGTTTGGGCTAATTCGCTCTGTCTTCCCTTCTTCCCTTCTCCCATCTCACACTCATTAATGCCTCTCTCCTGTCTGGTGATTCGCGGTTACAGAGCAAACACTTCGTTACCTTGTGACATGCAATACAGAGATGATAAGTGAGATTAATGCAGGAAGCAATTTACAAGCATTTCACAGCTATGGGTACCCGCATGGCCCCACAGTATGCCAACATTTTTATGGCTGATTTAGAACAACGCTTCCTCAGCTCTCATCCCCTAAAGCCCCTACTCTACTTGCGTTATATTGATGACATCTTCATCATCTGGACCCATGGAAAAGAAGCCCTTGAGGAATTCCACCATGATTTCAACAATTTCCATCCCACCACCAACCTCAGCCTGGTCCAGTCCACACAAGAGATCCACTTCCTGGACACTACAGTGCTAATAAACAATGGCCACATAAACACCACCCTATACCGGAAACCTACTGACCGCTATTCCTACCTGCATGCCTCCAGCTTTCACCCTGACCACACCACACAATCCATCGTCTACAGCCAAGCTCTGCGATACAACCGCATTTGCTCCAACCCCTCAGACAGAGACAAACACCTACAAGATCTCTGTCAAGCTTTCTTACAACTACAATACCCACCTGCAGAAGTAAAGAAACAGATTGATAGAGCCAGAAGAGTTCCCAGAAGTTACCTACTACAGGACAGGCCTAACAAAGAAAATAACAGAACGCCACTAGCGGTCACCTTCAGCCCCCAACTAAAACCCCTCCAACGCATTATTAAGGATCTACAACCTATCCTAAAGGATGACCCAACACTCTCACAAGTCTTGGGAGACAGGCCAGTCCTTGCCTACAGACAGCCCCGCAACCTGAAGCAAATACTCACCAACAACCACATACCACACAACAGAACCACTAACCCAGGAACTTATCCTTGCAACAAAGCCCGTTGCCAATTGTGCCCACATATCTATTCAGGGGACACCATCACAGGGCCTAATAACATCAGCCACACTATCAGAGGCTCGTTCACCTGCACATCCACCAATGTGATAGATGCCATCATGTGCCAGCAATGCCCCTCTGCCATGTACATTGGTCAAACTGGACAGTCTCTACGTAAAAGAATAAATGGACACAAATCAGATGTCAAGAATTCTAACATTCATAAACCAGTCGGAGAACACTTCAATCTCTCTGGTCACGCAATCACAGACATGAAGGTCGCTATCTTAAAACAAAAAAACTTCAAATCCAGACTCCAGCGAGAAACTGCTGAATTGGAATTCATTTGCAAATTGGATACTATTAATTTAGGCTTAAATAGAGACTGGGAGTGGCTAAGTCATTATGCAAGGTAGCCTGTTTCCTCTTGTTTTTTCCTACCCCCCCCCCCCCGATGTTCTGGTTTAACTTGGATTTAAACTTGGAGAGTGGTCAGTTTAGATGAGCTATTACCAGCAGGAGAGTGAGTTTGTGTGTGTATGGGGGTGGGGGGGATGTGAGAAAACCTGGATCTATGCAGGAAATAGCCCGACTTGATTATGTAAAGAGTTGTCACTTGGGATGGGCTATCACCAGCAGGAGAGTGAATTTGTGTGGGGGGTGGAGGGTGAGAAAACCTGGATTTGTGCTGGAAATGGCCCACCTGTTGATCACTTTAGATAAGCTATTACCAGCAGGACAGTGGGGTGGGAGGAGGTATTGTTTCATATTCTCTGTGTATATATAAAGTCTGCTGCAGTTTCCACGGTATGCATCTGATGAAGTGAGCTGTAGCTCACGAAAGCTCATGCTCAAATAAATTGGTTAGTCTCTAAGGTGCCACAAGTCCTCCTTTTCTTTTTGCGAATACAGACTAACACGGCTGTTCCTCTGAAAACAGTCTTAATGCTAATCCCCAGGGGAAACATAGTAATACACGGGTGACCAGACTGGCTGCAGCTCAGCATTGCCAGTGTTCAGCTGAGGCCCATTCCCCCGCCCCCGAGGGCACAGCTGGCTAGAGCCCCCTACAACTGGTGAGCTCTAGAGGCTGGATGTTGTGACCCGGCCCTCCCCTCGAGGTGCAGAGCTGGGGCCACACTAACAACGTTCCCCGGAGAACCATCCATAGAAGGATCCCCAAGTGCATCACAGACACTCCTGGCGTTACCCTCTCCCCCTCCCTGAGCGGCAGGTTGGTGTCATGAGCCCCCCTGCACAGACTGAGATGGGGAGAAGCTTTCCCCAGGCATGTTCACACAGGAAACCGATGGTGGCCAAGCCAGGAATGGAACCCAGGAACCCTGTCTCAGTCTTTTGTTGTTATTAATGGTGTTTGATTTCTATAGCACCAAAGATGTGCATGGCACCCGTGTACCAGTGCGAAGTGTGAGCTGTGTGTCCCACTCAGTGCCTGATCCCAGGAGGCTGCTACAGCTCTCAGCCACGGGCTCTGAGTCCTTTAGCTGCAGCTGTGCAGGGTCACGCTTCCAGCTCTGGTGGGGCCTGTTGTTTACAGAACAGCTAGACACGTCCCTGCTTTGAGGAGATCAGTGTCTGAGTGGAGACGGAACCAGTAGGACATGGGTGGGCCCAAAGAGAGAGGAAACTCTGGGTTTTGCAGATATCTGGAGGGAGATCAAGTCCTGTTCCTTATCCAAAAGGTCAGGCCCATGCTGCCTCCCTCTGGGGGTCCCCTTCCTTTCCTCTAGTGGAATCTGGGCTGCTCAGGACACAGTCAGAGGCTGCTGGATGGATGCATCTACGCGGGGGCCAGGAATGGGACAGAATAGACACACTGTCATAAATATAAAGGGAAGGGTAACAACCTTTATGTATGCAGTAATATAAAATCCCACCTGACCAGAAGGACCAATGGGGAAAGAAGATACTTTCAAATCTGGGGGGGACGGGGAGGAGGTTTTGTTTGTGCTCTCTTTGTGTGTGCCCCCTGGGACAGAGAGAGGGACCAGGCAGGAAAAAACATCTCCTAAAACCCTCCTTGAAATAAGCATCTAAGATTACAAAAATTGTAAGTAAAGCAAGGAAATGTATTAGATTATCTTTTGTTTTAGCTTGTGAATTTTCCCTATGCTAAGAGGGAGGTTTATTCCTGTTTTGTAACTTTGAAGTTGAGCCAAGAGGGGACTCCTCTGTGTTTTAAATCTTTTCATTACCCTGTAAAATGACCTTCCATCCTGATTTTACAGAGGTGCTTCTTTTACTTTTGTCTTTGTAATAAAGTTCTTTTAAGAACTTGATTGGTTTTCAGTGTCCTAAAAACCCAAGGGTCTGGTCTGTGCTCACCTTGTTAACCTATTGGTTGGTATATTATTCTTAAGCCTCTCCAGGAAAGCGGGTGTGGGGGGGAGATAGGGCTCCAAGTGGCCCCTCCTTGAATGTTTGTTTAAATCACTTGGTGGTGGCAGCAATACTGTCCAAGGACAAGGAAAGGAATTTGTGCCTTGGGGAAGTTTTTAACCTAAACTGGTGGAATATAAGCTTAGGGGGTCTTTCATGTGGGTCCCCACATCTGTACCCCAGAGTTCAGAGTGGGGAGGGAACCTTGACACACACACACAACTGCAAGCTCAGGAAAGTTTATTCTTGTGGTGGGCTGCAGCCACTGAGGGGAAGAGAGGGAAGGGGCAGGAGCGTAACTAGACCAGAGACGCTTGGGGGAAGAGAGTTGGCAGCTGGGGAAGTGAGATCTGGTGTCTCAGGGAGGGAGAGGACAGGCCCTTGATGCAGCAAAGGCATTGGAAAGTCTGGGACGTTGCCTGATCGTGCCCAAGGAGCCCAGTTCTTTTGCATCCCAGGTGCTGAGCTCCCCCTTCAGGCGCAGGAGAGCGACTCCCCTCAGTAGAGTTCATACTTGCAAATGTAGTTGGTTTGCTTATTACAGGGAATATCGTTCCATTTCTTAAAACCTAGAAGGCAAAACAGAAATCACCGGGGAAGGGGGAGTGGGGCCATTCCTGCCCTTACAGTGACCCCCCCTCATTGCACACTGCTGAGAGAAGACCCCAGCTCCCGTGCAGGAGGCTGCGAGGAGGAGGAGCATGGACGGCAGGTATAATAGGCCAGAGGAGAATAAGACTCCGCAACCAGCCGTCAACCCGCTGCCTTTAGGAGTCTGGGCCTTGGCCCCACCTGCACTCCCCCCCGAGGCCCCTCTCCGGCTCTTCCCCTTTGGGCCCAGCCTCGCTCCACCCCTTTCTGCCGCTGCTCCTCCTCTTCTCCCCTGAGGCCTGCCCTTGCTCCACCTTTTCCTGTCCCCACTCCATCCCTTCCCTTCCTCGCCGCGTCGTTCTTCTCCTCCAACCCAAGGAGGAGGAGAGGAAAGGAGCGCGTGGCGACGCTGAGAGGTGGGCGGGCGGGGCCGAGCAGGAAGGGGGCTGAGCGGGACTGGGGCTTGGGGCGGGGCTTGGGATGGAGTGTGGACGGGGCATGGGTGGGGCCTTGGGGAGGAGGCCGAGTGTGGGAAGGCCTTGGGTGGGGGGTTCATGGTCCGGGCACCGGGGAAGCTTCTGAAGCTTGCATCAGCCTCCCCAGGTGCCAGAGCATCGTGCCGCCCCTGACAAAGAGGCTGGAGGTGAAGCCCCATGTGCCTCAGACAGGGACAGGCTCCTTCGTTCCCTGAGGGACGCGTGTCAGCGTAACAGTGGAAGACCCTCTTCTATTGTGTTGGAATGTGTCTGATGAGAGCACGACAGGGCCTCTTGGCGCTAGGTGCTGTGTCCAGGCAGATAATCCCTGCCCTCGAGAGCGCACAGTCTAAACAGACAAGAGGTGGAAGGGGAAACTAAGGCCCAGAGTGGGGAAGTGAGTTGACCAAGGTCACCCAGCAGAGCAGTGGCAGGGCTGGGAATAGAAGCCAGGTCTCCTGAGTCACAGTCCGTACATGTCCACTAGGCCACACTGCTCCTCCACCTGCAACTGCTGTTACCTCCCATTACCCCCCGGCTCCCAACAAAAAGACAGAAAGGAGAACACAGAGCCCTGGCCAGCTGCCAGCTGGGAGACAAGCTCAGGAAGAGGGAAGCCAGCTCGCTCTGTGCTGAACGAGCCGTCCCAACCTCCATTCCTACACATCTGGGTTTGTATGTGGCCCAGAGGTATCATCTCTCCCCACAGGACAGCACTAAGGATTCAGGTTGATGAATTGCTGTGAATTTCACCCTCATTCCTGTTCGCAGAGCCACACAGCCCCAGGAGCCTTATTCAGAAACGGCTCCCACAACTGTTTTGAAGAAGTTTTCACATCAACTTTTAGCTCTGTGTGTGATTGGTCATGTAGGTCACATGGCATCATTTCTGCTCCATGATTGGATGAGTGACACTTTAAAGTAGGAGACAATGGGGGAAAAAATCCTGCCCAGTGTGAGTTTGTGGGGGAAGGAGCATTCGTACCAACGCTGCTGAACACTCAGACCTGAGAGCATCGGATGGGTGGGTGAGTCTGTGTGTCTAACATGGGCCCTGAAGAATGAGTCTGTGATAAATGAAAGGGTGGGGGTAGCTCCCTTTTATGGACACCCAGCCAGCCAGTTAACTATAAAATCTCTCTTAGTAGTTGTTCTCTACTTGCTTTACCTGTAAAGGGTTAAAAAGTCTCACTGCGATGGATAGGTAAAAGGAAGGGAGTGGGCAGCTGGCCAAAAGAGCCAATGGGAAGGCTAGAACTTTTTAAAATTGAGAAAAAACTCCCCTTTTGTCTGTTTGTTATTCCTCTCCTGGAGAGAGGCAGACAGGGCAGAGCGATGCTATAAGAAGCTTGGGGCCAGGTATGAAAAATCCTCAGTATCATACCTAGAAACTGCTCATTTGAACCCCAGATATGTATGTAGATCAGGAATTGTCTAGGAAGACGCGATGAGGTTTATCCCTTTGATTCCTTTATGGCTTGTGGACTCCTCTGTGCTAACCCCGGTGCTTTTTGTTTTGCTTGTAACCTTCAAGCGGGACCTCAAGAAAGCTATTCTTGGTGCTTAATCCTTGTAGTTACTCTTTCCAAATCTAGCAATAGCCTGAGTTCCCAGATTCTTTCTTTCTTAATAAAATTTACCTTTTAAAGAACAGAATAGGATTTCTGTGTCTTAAGAGGTTTGTGCACGTTGTTTAATTAGCTTGTGGCAACAGCTGATTTCCTTCTTTTTCTTTCTCAGCTATCCCCTGGAGGGGGTGTGTGAAAGGGCTTGAGGGTACCCCACAGGAAGGAATTCCCAAGTGTGCCTTCCTCGGTTCTCAAAGGGGGTCTGCACTTGGGTGGTAGTAGCATCTACCAATCCAAGGGCAGAGAAAAGTTGTAACCTTGGAAATAATACAAGCCTGGAGTGGCAAGTATTAATTTTAGAGTCCTTGCAGACCCCCACCTTCTGCACTCAAAGTGCCAGAGTGGGGAATTAGCCTTGACAGAGTCGCTCATGAATTGGCGAGTGAGCTTTCCCTGTTCAGCCAGCTCTCCATCCTATTGTCAGCCACGGGGACAAGGCCTTCAGCCCCGTTCTTCCCCCCCTACACCACTCCAGCAACACGGACAGCAGGAAGCTGGCTTAATGGCCAGCTGGGGGTTCTCTTGTGTAGGGGAACCCAGCAGAGGGAGCTGCCCTGCCCAGTCCTGGCCTCCCCAAGCCTCTGTTCGACATTGGTGAGGCCTCATCTGGAGTACTGTGTCCAGTTTTGGGCCCCACACTTCAAGAAGGATGTGGATAAATTGGAGAGAGTCCAGCGAAGGGCAACAAAAATGATTAGGGGACTGGAACACATGAGTTATGAGGAGAGGCTGAGGGAGCTGGGATTGTTTAGCCTGCAGAAGAGAAGAATGAGGGGGGATTTGATAGCTGCTTTCAACTACCTGAAAGGGGGTTCCAAAGAGGATGGCTCTAGACTGTTCTCAATGGTAGCAGATGACAGAACGAGGAGTAATGGTCTCAAGTTGCAGTGGGGGAGGTTTAGATTGGATATTAGGAAAAACTTTTTCACTAAGAGGGTGGTGAAACACTGGAATGCGTTACCTAGGGAGGTGGTAGAATCTCCTTCCTTAGAGGTTTTTAAGGTCAGGCTTGACAAAGCCCTGGCTGGGATGATTTAACTGGGAATTGGTCCTGCTTTGAGCAGGGGGTTGGACTAGATGACCTTCTGGGGTCCCTTCCAACCCTGATATTCTATGATTCTATGATTCTATGATTCTATGATTCTGTGCTCTGGCTGTACAGGTTCCTACTGCCACTATCAGAGCAGCTCTGGGGCTGCTCTAAATTGTCCTGGGGCCAAAATAGCCCCCTGGCTGACTCCAGAATCAGGGTGGCAAAAGCCACAGTGGCACCAACTGAAGAACCCATGTCCTGCCTACGTATCAACTAGTGGGCAATAGCTCTGCTCTGGTCTTTCGCTTCAACTGATCGTCTGGGGCCAAATGTACTGGATGGCCTTCCTCTGACTGGAGCTGAGCCTCAGACTGGGATGCTTGCAGGAGGAGTTACCAGGTGAGATGAGGGGAGAGGGAGTGGCAGTGTGAGCTGAGGGAGAGAGGCAGGGTGACAGGACAGGAGGCCATCTCCGCAGAGAGAGCTGGAGTGTGTGGCCAGGGTGTGTGTCTTGGCTTCTTTGTTGGTGCATGTGTGTTTGAACCGACTGCTTACCCCTTTTGCTCAGCAGCTCGACACAGTACTCGCCACCATTATCATTGTTTGGTTCCTTGGCTTCCCAAGCATTGTAGCAATACGGGGAGCGATCTGTCCACCTCCAGCTTCTGGTCTGCAGAGACAGGGGAGAAAGGTTGTGGGGTCCCGGGGAGAAGAGACTTTGGTGACAAGGCACCATAGAAACACCTAAACCCAATACAGAAGTGCCCTATTCAGGCAGTGGGAGAGAGTCGGGGAAGGGCCGTGGGGCAGCCAGTGGGGAGAGGCCAGCTCAGGGGGAGGGGCCCTGGAGACGCTGATATTAACACTTAGCACATAAACCTCATTTTCTACCTTACAAGCCTGAATTAACTAATTATCTCATGATGGAGCAGAGTCACTCTGGAGTGTCTTCAAGTCCCTAAAGAACAAATAGGCAAGGCCCGCCAGGGGGCACTGGTGGTTTAAGGTGGGTGATCTCATCCTGCTTAAGCAAAATAAAACGGCATTTGTGATGGAGATGCTGGATGGATCAGGGAATGGGACTCAGCACCAGCACCAGTCTGACACCAAGTTAAGAGGATTGGCTAGTGCAGTAGAATCAGGGCATGGGACACGGGGCCTTTCACCTCTAGGGGTGCTGGCTCTGGCCTGGCCTCAGCTCGTGGGGGGACTAGCTGGCTTTGGGGGTCAGAGAACTAGTTCCAATCCATTGCGAGGCCAGGGGGAGCTGGATGGCTGAGGAGACTAGAGAATGGGATACAGAGCCTCTCACTTCTCTCACTCTGGGTCCAGTCTAGTCCCAGGTCGGGGGATCCAGGGCCTGAGTCTGTGCGTGCTATTTGGGGAGCTTCCTGACCCCAGCGCCTCCCTAGCAGAGGGGAGGGAAAGGAAACAGATGGAGACAACGTTTCAGGTGGAGCTTGGTAAGTTTACGAAGGGGGTGGCGTGACGGGGTTGCCGGCCATAGCACGGGCTGGACTCAGTGACCCTGGAGGTTCTTTCCAGTCCTATGTTCATAATGGCTCCATCCCACTCTCGGGCCTCCTTCCCAGCCTGTGACTGCTCCTGCTTCTTGTCCCTGCCCTAAGGAGCTGGGGGCTCTCCTACAAAGAACCAGGCGAGGACGGGATCCCCAAGCTGAGGGAGCGACCAGCAGTGTCGGGGACAGTGCAGAGGTCAAGGGGGAGCAGAGGCTCAAGTCTTGAGCCGGAAAAAGTGGCTAGAAAACTTGGTCAGAGTGGAGTGGAGACAGGATGCGGGGTGCAGGGGGAGGGCACGGCACATTGCGTGAGCTGGCAGCGGGGAAGGGCGATGGGACAGTAGTTGGCGAGGCAGGTGTGGGTCAAAGGTCAGTTTGATGATGGGGGAGACCAGGGCCTGGCTGTATTTAGAAGGGAAAATCCAAAGGGGAGTCGGAGCTTATGGTAGGATGGAGATGGAAAGAGTACAGGAGGGCAGGGGTTAAGGGTGAGGTGCAGATGGGAGACCCTGGCAGCCCCTATGAAGGGCTCATAGGTCATTGTCTCTGACAACCTGGGAAGCCTCCAATAGGAGGAGCAGCTGTCAGAGGCAAAGCAGGCTCTGGGCACTCACCTGCCGGTGGTCATGCAGTCCGATCCAGACGCTATCCTTGGAGTGCGAGTTGCTGATGTATCTGGCCACCCTGTCCCCTTCTGCCTCAGTGAGAATGGAGGCGAGATGGGCCCCTTTGCGGTGATATTGACACTGCATCTGCGGCAGGGACATCAGCGAGGCCTGTTACCCCCCTGCAGGAGGACGCAGTTTGGCACTGGTGTGGGGTCCTGCCCCACCAGGCTGCAGCAGGAGCAGGGACGGCTGTGAGGGGAGGGAGCCCCCTCTCAGTGCCTCTTCCCGAGCCCCAGGGCCTGGCACCAGCCACGTCACTTCTGCAGCCTCCCCACCCATCCTCTGCAGGGGTACACACTGGGGCTAATGGTGATGTCACCAAACCCCTTCAGCCCCTGCCCACTAACCCACCCCGTGGATCCCTGAGAAGAGCCTCATACCTCAGCATCTGACCAGGTCATCTTTTCAAGGAAATACCCATAGCAGTGGCCTTGGTAGAGCAGCCAGTTAGGGAGACAGGACGTGGCCCCTATTCCTGATCCGAGAGAGGAGATGGGACTGGGAGAGAGAACAGTGTGGTGAGAGGCTGTTTCGGAGAAGAGAATGGGAGCAGAGCTGCCGGCTGTCATCATTCCAGCTTCCCCGGATCTCCAAAAATCCTGTTACTTTCAATGGGGCTGAAGCCATGCAGTGAGGCTGTCCTAGTAAAAATTACCACTGTCTCCTTCCCAAGGGGACAGGGACTGGGCTTGCCTCATGGAAGATGATCTGTGCACGAGCACTGGGGAACCTGACAGGGAGGAGTATTAAGGGGGTTGAGTCAGAGTACACAGGGGATGGTGGGGTAAGGGTGGGAAGCACTGGGTGTCATGGGGACACTGGTGGGACTGGGAGCAGAGGGGAGGTTGGGGACACTGGAGTATAGTAGAGGCTGAAGGGACACCACAGCCCTGTGGTGATTTGCCAACCTAGTGAGGAGGGCTTTAAACTAGGTTCAAAAGGGATGGGTGACAAAATCCCACATGTGACCTTAACAGAAGGCTAAATGTTGGTGGGGGAGGGGAGAAGGAAAATTACAATGGGGTCTTAGGAGCAACAAGAGGGAGAACAGTGCGGAATCTGCTGTACATCTGACGTCTATACACAAATGGAAGGAGTATGGGGAATAGATGGAAGAACTGGAAGTATTAGTATATAAGCTACATTATGACTTAATTGGTATCAAAGTGAGTTGGTGGGATAAATCTCCTGACTGGAATATTGGTAGAGAGAGGCATAGCTCATTCAGGAAGGACAGGCAGAGAAAAAAGGAAGGGGTGTTGTATTAGATATCAAGAATATTAACTTGTTCTGAGGTCCAGAAGGTGAGAAGCAGACCAACTGAAAGTCTCTGGGTAAAGAAAAAAGGGGAAAAAAGAGAGGTGATGTCATGGTAGGGATCTCCTCTAGCCCACCACATCAGGAGGAGGATGGGGTATTTCTAGAACAAATAACGGAAATATCCAAAAGACAAGACCTGGTAGTAATGGGGGGACTTCAACTTCCCAGATATCTACCGGAAAAGTAATATGGCAAAACATAACATTTCAAAACATTCTTAGAATGTATTGGGAATAACTTCTTATTTCCAAAAGTGGAGAAATAAAAAGGGGAAAAGCCGCATTAGACTTAATTCTGACCAGCAGGGAGGATTTGGCTGTGAATCTGAAGTTTGAAGATAATTTGGTGAAAGTGACCATGCAATGAAAGATTTTATGATTCTAAGGAAGAGTAGGAATTACAGCAACAGAATAAACACAATGGACTTCAAAAAAGCTGTCTTTAACAAACTCAGAGAACTGGTCAGTAAGGTGCCATCAGAAGAAAATCTAAGGGAAAAAGGAGGTCAGCAAATCTGGCAGTGTCTCAAAGACCATATTAAAGGTGCACCAGCACATTAGTCTGATGCAAAGGAAAGGTAGGAAGAATAATAAGAGGCCAGTGAGAGGCCATTAGGAGCTCTTCAATTACCTGAAAATCAGAAACGAATCCTACAGAAAGTGAAAACATGGACAAATTGCAAGGGAGGGGTACAAAAGAATAGCACAAACATGTACAAAGAAAATCAGAAAGACACAAAGGCACAAAATGATGACACCTAGCAAGAAGTCTAAAAGGCAATAAGAAGAGTTTGTATATATACATTAGCAGCCAAGGGAAAGATGAAGGCAAGTGTACAGCTTAGCTGGGAATAAGAACTAATAACGGACGGCATGAAGAAGGAGAATGTGTTTAATGTCTATTTTGCTTCAGTCTTCAGTAAAGAGGTAAATTGTGACCAGGTACTTAACATAATTAATCTTATCAATCAGAAGGAAGGAATGCAAGCCAAAATAGGTAAGAACAGGTTAAAGAATGTTTAGATAATTTGTATGTTTCCCAGAAGCAGAGTCCAATGAAATTCATCCTAAAATACATAAGGAATGAGCTAAAGCAATCTTGGAACCATTAGCAATTATCTTTGAGAACTCATGGAGAATAGGTGAGGTCCCAGAGGACTGGAGAAGGGCAAACATAGTACTTGTGATGGGTTCGGTCCCAGACACCCCCTTGTGCTGAGACTCTCACCTGATGTGCTGAGACTAGCTCTGAGCCCGTTTTCTCTGTTAGCTTAGGACTTCAGTACCCTGTCTTATTGAGCCAGATACGCTAATCTGCTGCAACACAGACCCAGGGTCTGAACCATGCCTCCAGAGCTGCAGACTTAACTGAAAACCACTCAGCAAGTACTCCTGTCTCCAGCACCCAGACACACAGCTCCCAATGGGATCCAAATCCGAAACAAATCTGTTTTACTCCATATGAAGCTTATACAGGGTAAACTCATAAATTGTCCACCCTCTATAATACTGATAGAGAGATATGCACAGCTGTTTGCTTCCCCAGGGTTTAATCACTTACTCTGGGTTAATTAATAAACAAAAGTGATTCTATTAAGTACAAAAAGTAGGATTTAAGTGGTTTCAAGTAATAACAGAACCAAGTAAGTTACCAAGCAAAATAAAACAAAAACACGCAAGTCTAAGCCTAATACATTAAGAAACTGATTTCAGATGAAATCTCACTTTCAGAGATGTTTAAATAAGCTTCTTTCACAGACTAGACTCCTTTCTAGTCTGGACACAAACCTTTCCCTTGGTACAGACCTTGCTAGTTCCAGGAGGCATCTCAGATGAAAAGCAGGGGAGTCACATGACTGAGACCCTTTGTTCTGTTCCAGCCCCTTTAATAGCTTTGGCACAAGGCAGGAATCCTTTGTCTCTCTCTGGGTTCCCACCCCTCCTTCTAAATGGAAAAGCACCAGGTTAAAGATGGATTCCAGTTCAGGTGACATGAACTGTTCACATGTCCAGTTCACATGTCACTGTAAGACTTCATTACCCACTTACTGGCACCCACCTATACAGGAAGGCTTGCAAGTAAACAGAGCCATTTACAACCAATTGTCCTGGTTAATGGGAGCCATCAAGATTCCAAACCACCATTAATGGCCCACACTTTGCATAATTACAATAGGACCTCCGAGTTATATTTCATGTTTATAGTTTCAGATACAAGAATGAGACATTCATACAAATAGGATGAACACATTCAGTAGACTATAAACTTTGTAATGATACCTTACAAGAGACCTTTTGCATGAAGCCTATTCCAGTTACATTATATTCACACGCATTAGCATATTTTAATAAAATCATATGGAGTGCAACGTCAGAGTACCTGTCTTTTAGAAGGGGAACAAAGAAGATCTGTGAAATTATAGACTGGTAGCCTAACTTCGGTACAGGGAAAGAGACTGGAACAAATTAAGAAACAGTCAATTTATAGGCATCTAGAGCAAGATTTCTCAAACGTCATTGCACCGTGATGCGCCTTCTGATAATAAAGTTCCTACGTGACCCCTGGGGCGGGGGTTGGAGCCCGAGCGTGAGCCCTGCCACCCTGGGTGGGGGGAAAGGAGGCCTCAGGCCAAGTCCTGCTGCCCTAGGTGGGGGAAGAGGGGGCTGCAGCCCGAGCCCCATTGCCCCAGGTGGGGATGAAGCTCAGGCTTCAGCTTCAGCCCTGGGTCCCAGCAAGTCTAATGCTGGTCCTGGCAACCCCATTAAAATTGGGTCACAATCCACTTTGGGGTCCGACCCACAGTTTGAGAACCGCTGGTCTAAAGGATAATTGGGTTATAAGTAAAAGCAACCATGGATTTGTCAAGATCAAGCCATGCCAAGCCAACCTAATTTCTTTCTTTAACAGGATTACTGGCCCAGTGAATTGGGAGAAGCTAAAGACTTGCTATCTCTTGATTTTATTAATGCTTTTGACAGTTCCACATGATATTCTCATAAGCAAAAGTGTGGAAATGTGATCCAGATGAAATGACTTTATAAGGTGGGTGCACAACTGGTTGAAAGACCCTACTCAAGGAGTAGTTATCAATGCTTTGCTGTCACATGGGTGGAACATATCTAGTGGGGTCCCTCAGGGGTCTGTCATTGGTCTGGTACTGTTCAACATTTTCATTAATGACTTGGATAATGGAGTGGCGATTACACCTATAAATTCTGTGGATGACACGAAGTTGGGAGGGGTTGCTAGCTCTTTCGAATACAGGGTTAGAATTCAAATGGCCTTAACAAACTGGAGATTTGGTCTGAAATCAACAAAATGAAATTAAATAAACACAAGTGCAAAATATTTCATTAAGGAAGGAAAAATCAAATCCCCAACTATGGTGTGGGGATTAACTAGCTAGGCAGTAGAATGACTGAAAAGGATCTGGAGTTTATAGTGGATCACAAATTGAATATGAGTCAACAATGTGATGCAGTGAGAAAAAAGGTTGATATCAGCCTGGGGTCTTGTAACGGGGTATACAAACCCCACACTGGGCAGCCAGGGCTAAGGACATGCCGCCCCGCCACACCTGTAGGAAATGGTCCAACTGAAGAAGGAGTTAAAAGGCAGGGGAGCAGCTCATTTGGTGGCAGAGCAGGGAAGAGAGCAGACCTGCAGCTCCAGCAGAGGGGAGCTGAGCTGAGGAAAAGGCAGAATCTCTCTCCAGGACACCTGCCCAAAGGTCGCTCCCTGAGGGAAGGGAGGGCCTGTTCCAGAGGCAGCCTGAGAGGGGAATATTCCCCTCTCCCTCTTCTATTTTGTTAATTCTCCTGCACTTGGCTTGGACAGCCGTAGAAGGGGAAGGCCCTAGGGCTGATCTGGCCCAGGTTGGGGGCCCCACTGCAGGAGGAAGCAGTTGCCAACCTGAGAGAGGAAGAGAGCTACCACGCTACATGCAGCCACCAGAAGGTGCCTGGTGGCGAGCAGACACCCTTGACGCTGCCCAAACCCGGACACTGACCTTGGGCCTATTGCAGGTGGGTGGTACAAAGTGGCCCAGGGAGGGCAGTCTTAAGCGGCCCCGGCTGTCAGACCACTGATAACCCTCAAAGGACCCTGAGTTGGAGCCTGGTGGAGCGGGAGGGCCAAGGCTTCCCTGCCAACAAACCCCCTGCAAGTCACGGGTCTAAACCCTGACCACTAGGGGATGCTCCCCTACCAAGCAACCTGCGAGTGAGGACTGTCGTAGGTGTGTTAACAGGAGTGCTGTGTGTAAGACACAGAAGGTCATTGTCCTGGTCTGCTCGGCACTGGCGAGGTCTCAGCTGTACTTCTGTGTCCAGGTCTGGGTGCCGCATTCTCAGAAAGACGTGGATAAGATGGGGAGAGTCCAGAGGAGAGCAACAAAAATGCTAAAAGGTTTGGAAACCTGACCTGTGAGGAGAGGTTAAAAAACGGGGCTTGTTCAGTCTAGAGAGGAGAAGACTGAGGGGTGAGCAGAGAACAATCTTCACACCTGTTACGGGCTGTTATAAAGAGGATGGTGATCAATTGTTCTCCATATCCACTGATGGCAGGACAAGCAGGAATGGGCTTAATCCGCAGCAAGAGAGATTTAAGTTCGATATTAGGAAAAACTTGCTAACCCTCAGGGTAGTGAAGCTCTGGAAGAGGCTTCCGAGGGAGATTGTGGATTCCCTGTCACTGGAGGATTTTAAGAACAGGTTGGAAAAACACCTGTCAGGGATGATCTAGGTTTACTTGATCCTGCCTCAGCATGGGGGAGCTGGACTGGATGACCACTGCAGGTCCCTTCCAGCCCCCCATTTCTATGGTTCTCTGATAGCTGAGGGCCTAGAGAGGGGAGGGAAGGCAGGGAGCCAGTGACAGGTGGGTGGGGGGAGGGATTAGGAGCATGTGGAGTAAGTGCAGAGATTGGTGGGGATAAGTAAGGAAGGGGGGCCGGGGGAGAGAAATAGTCTGTGGGTCCCAGGACTCTTCTTGGCACAGGAGGAGGGGGGAAGGGTTTGGATTATCCCAAAGCAGAAGGATTAAGTTTACGAAGAGGCGCCATTTTGAGCCCCCTGAAAAGAGATGGCGGTCACTTGTTTGGGATGTTATTGGGACATTCTTCTCTCTGGTTGGGACGGGACCCCTCTGCCCCGGTGGGGAGAGTCACCCTCTAACCTGCAGCAGGAGATGGGGGCGGGTTTAGCTCCCAGCCTGTCTCTCACACTCAGCCCCAGGAGGTCTCAGGGATTCCCTCTGCATTCAGAGCCAGGGGCAGCGGGAAGCAGCCTCTCTGGGGTCCGGATTAATGGTGAAATAAATTCACTTCCCATCAAGGGAAAATAGATCCTGGGGTCTCCAGATACAAGGGGCCGGGCAGGGACTCACCTTCCAGCGAGGGGTTAAAGATCAGGCAGCCAAGAAGGCAGAGGCTGAAGTAGGCGACTGGTCCCATCTTCGTGCTCCCCCTGGGGAGAAAACACACAAGGGAGATGGGGCCACGACAGCCTGAGATGCACCCTCAGGAGACCCCTATCCCCTGTGGGGCATTTCACAGGGGGAAGTGCGTCGGAGCTGGGGATGTTTGGTAAAGGGCCTGGCTGTGCTAGAAAGGCTCCAAGAGGGATCCCATCCTCCCAGCCCTGGGGGACCCAGCTCGGAGCCCATGTCCCTGGTTCTGGAGGATCCTTCCACCTCTAGCCCTCACTGAGCTGTGCCCCAGGGACAGAACAGGACACCAAGCAGGGAGCCAGGACCCAGCTCCTCAGTGGCTGTGTTCTGCAAGCCGCACCACCAGGGACTCCCTGAACCAGGGCTGAAGGTAGGGAGGAGCCCGGGGGCAGCAGGGAGGCCGGGTCTCAAGCAACAGGGTCCTATTTGCAGAACAAAGCGGTTCTCAGAAGGGGCATTTGCCATCTCCTGCTGTCCCTCTCTCCCCAGTTCTGGGGCTGGCAGGTCCCCACGGTAGCCACCTACATAGAACTTGGAGAGAGGAGCACAGGTGGGAGGAAGGCAGAGTTTGGAAAAGGCACCAGGGCCACCAGGATGGAGGCCAGTCTGTGTGCACATGGCTGGAATGCCAACTGCAGATGCAGCACCTCTGCAATAGTTCTCTGACTAGAGAGACAGTTTAGTGTTAGAAACATGAAGTCCTCTTGTGTTATCACCCAGCACCTGGTACACAAAAGACCCACTGACCCATCCCGGGGCCTTTTCCTCACTAATAGGTGTTTGAATCACACTCCTATTTCTGTCTCCAGGGAGATCAAGTGTCTGGAAAGCCAACACCCTGTGTTTGGGGGTGGGGAGAGGAGGGGAGGGGTGATAGTTACTGCACCTCGTGAGGGGGGTTGGGATCCCCGTTGCACCATGACTGGGCGAAGGGGTCCAATGGGAGAGCTGCCCTGCAGAGTGATACTCCATTGGGGACTGGACACAGGACTGGAGGCTGGGCCCAGCTCTGGGAGGGGCAGAGGGCTCGACACAGCTACGCAGGGCATTAGGGTGCCACGTGCAACACTGTGCTGGGTGGGAGGAAGGGGTGAGACAGAGACGGCCCCAGGGTCAGGGGACTCACACAGGGCACTCGCCCCTGTAATGGATCAGCTGCTGCCAGCCACCCAGCGCAGGAAGAGGAAGAAGCTGGAAGAAGCCAGGGTCTCACCTGATTGTCTCTCTGCATAGCCACTCCGGTGCAAACCAGTTCAAGTGAAGCCTGCATGGGACACTGGCCGTGCCTGGGGCATTTATAGACCAGTCCAGGGAAGGGGGGCCCAGGGGTCAATACTGAACACGCAAATCTGTGCTGATGACGGATACAGTCATTTAATGCCAAGGCAAACAGAGATAAGAGGAGCCATGACCCAGCCACCAGCCAGGCAGTGACCAGGAAGAAGCACTTGGCAGGGCTCAGATAACAGATAAAATAAAAGCTATCCCCCGCACCTGTCTGTAAGTGCTGAGATCAGTGTCCCTGTTGTGAGCCTCATGCCTTGGCCCTGACTTGCCTAATTGCTCACGTCCATCTTGTGCAATGAAAAGTTTTGGGAGATCCTCAGGGAGTGTAAATCAGCTGGATGCCTACTGAAGTCAGTGGGTGGGATCCCCCCTTTGTTAGCCTCTCTGCTGCGAGGAACCGAGAAGTCTGCTGCTTGCCAGGAGCTAGGATTCACGATGTGACTGAGAGACTGCCGAGACTCATCAAGCCCTCGGATTGCTACCCCTTCCTGCTCCTCCACGTGGGCACCAATGATACTGCCAAGAATGACGTTGGGGGGAGCACTGCGGACTATGTGGCTCTGGGAAGGATAAAGGAGTCTGAGGCGCAAGTGGTGTTCTCATCCATCCTTCCCGTGGAAGGAAAAGGCCTGGGTAGAGACCATCGAATCATGGAAGTCAACGAATGGCTACGCAGGTGGTGTCGTAGAGAAGGCTTTGGATTCTTTGACCATGGGATGGTGTTCCATGAAGGAGGAGTGCTGGGCAGAGACGGGCTCCACCTAACGAAGAGAGGGAAGAGCATCTTCGCAAGCAGGCTGGCTAACCTAGTGAGGAGTGCTTTAAACTAGGTTCACCGGGGGAAGGAGACCAAAGCCCTGAGGTAAGTGGGGACATGGGATACCGGGAGGAAGCATGAGCAGGAGAGCGCAAGAGGGGAGGGCTCCTGCCTCATGCTGAGAAAGAAGGGCGATCAGCAAGTTATCTCAAGTGCCTATACACAAATGCAAGAAGCCTGGGAAACAAGCAGGGAGAACTGGAATTCCCAGCACAGTCAAGGAATTATGATGTGATTGGAATAACAGAGACCACCAGATCAGGGGGATGAGGTGGACAAGGCTTTCTTCCGGCAACTAAGGGAAGTTACTAGATCGCAGGCCCTGGTTCTCATGGAAGACTTCAATCATCCTGATATCTGCTGGGAGAGCAATACAGCGGTGCACAGACAATCCAGAAAGTTTTTGGAAAGTGTAGGGGACAATTTCCTGGTGCAAGTGCTGGAGGAACCAAGTAGGGGCAGAGCTCTTCTTGACCTGCTGCTCACAAACCGGGAAGAATTAGTAGGGGAAGCAAAAGTGGATGGGAACCTGGGAGGCAGTGACCATGAGATGGTCGAGTTCAGGATCCTGACACAGGGAAGAAAGAAGAGCTTCAGAATACAGACTCTGGACTTCAGAAAAGCAGACTTTGACTCCCTCAGGGAACTGATGGGCAGGATGCCTTGGGAGAATAACATGAGGGGAAAGGAGTCCAGGAGAGCTGGCTGTATTTTCAAGAATCCTTATTGAGGTTACAGGGACAAACCATCCCGATGTGTAGAGAGAATAGTAAATATGGCAGGTGACCAGCTTGGCTTCACAGTGAAATCCTTGCTGATCTTAAACACAAAAAATCAGCTTACAAGAAGTGGAAGATTGGACAAATGACCAGGGAAGAGTATAAAAATATTGCTCGGGCATGCAGGAGTGAAATCAGGAAGGCCAAATCACACCTGGAGTTGCAGCTGGCAAGAGATGTTAAGAGTAACAAGAATTGTTTCTTCAGGTCTGTTAACAACAAGAAGAAAGTCAAGGAAAGTGTGGGCCCCTTACTGAATGAGGGAGGCAACCTAGTGACAGAGGATGTGGAAAAAACTAATGTACTCAATGCTTTTTTTGCCTCTGTCTTCACGAACAAGGTCAGCTCCCAGACTACTGCACTGGGCAGCACAGCATGGGGAGGAGGTGCCCAGCCCTCTGTGGAAAAAGAAGTGGTTCGGGACTATTTAGAAAAGCTGGATGAGCACAAGTCCATGGGGCTGGATGCGCTGCATCCGAGAGCGCTAAAGGAGTTGGCGGCTGTGATTGCAGAGCCATTGGCCATTATCTTTGAAAACTCATGGCAATCGGGGGAGGTCCCGGACAACTGGAAAAAGGCTAATGTAGTGCCCATCTTTAAAAAAGGAAAGAAGGAGGATCCTGGGAACTACAGGCCAGCCAGCCTCACCTCAGTCCCTGGAAAAATCATGGAGCAGGTCCTCAAGGAATCAATTCTGAAGCACTTAGATGAGAGGAAAGTGATCAGGAACAGTCAGCATGGATTCACCAAGGGCAAGTCATGCCTGACTAATCTAATTGCCTTCTGTGACGAGATAACTGGCTCTGTGGATGAGGAGAAAGCAGTGGACGTGTTGTTCCTTGACTTTAGCAAAGCTTTTGACACAGTCTCCCACAGTATTCTTGCCAGCAAGTTAAAGAAGTATGGGCTGGATGAAGGACAAAAAGGTGGATAGAAAGCTAGCCAGATTGTTGGGCTCAATGGGTAGTGATGAATGGCTCCATGTCTAGTTGGCAGCCAGTATCAAGTGGAGTGTCCCAAGGTCCTGGGGCTGGTTTTGTTCAATATCTTCATGAATGATCTGGAGGATGGTGTGGATTGCACTCTCAGCAAGTTTGCAGATGACACTAAACTGTGAGGAGAGGTAGATACCCTGGAGGGTAGGGATAGGATACAGAGGGCCCTAGACAAATTAGAGGATTGGGCCAAAAGAAATCTGATGAGGTTCAACAAGGACAAGTGCAGAGTCCTGCACTTAGGACGGAAGAATCCCATGGACCGCTGCAGACCAGGGACCAAATGGCTCAGCAGCAGTTCTGCAGAAAAGGACCTAGGGGTTACAGTGGATGAGAAGCTGGATATGAGTCAACAGTGTGCCGTTGTTGCCAAGAAGGCCAGTGGCAGTTTGGGATGTATAAGTAGGGGCATTGCCAGCAGATCGAGGGACGTGATCGTTCTCCTCTATTCGACATTGGAGTAGTGTGTCCAGTTTTGGGACCCACACTACAAGAATGATGTGGAAAAATTGGAAAGCGTCCAGCGGAAGGCAACAAAAATTATTAGGGGACTGGAACACATGACTTCTGAGGAGAGGCTGAGGGAACTGGGATTGTTTAGTCTGCGGAAGAGGAGAATGAGGGGGGATTTGATAGCTGCTTTCAACTACCTGAGAGGTGGTTCCAGAGAGGATGGTTCTAGACTATTCTCAGTGGTAGAAGAGGACAGGACAAGGAGTAATGGTCTCAAGTTGTAGTGGGGGAGGTTTAGGTTGGATATTAGGAAAAACTTTTTCACTAGGAGGGTGGTGAAACACTGGAATGCGTTTCCTAGGGCTGTGGTGGAATCTCCCTCCTTAGAAGTTTTTAAGGTCAGGCTTGACAAAGCCCTGGCTGGGATGATTTAGTTGGGGATTGGTCCTGCTTTGAGCAGGGGGTTGGACTAGATGACCTCCTGAGGTCCCTTCCAACCCTGATATTCTATGATTCTATGATTCTCTACAGTCTGGTGTACGGCTATTGGAGTCCTTGGGGTCAGACCCCTAGCAGGTGGGCATTGCTCAGAGCGCCGCTGGAATCACGGGGGCTAGAACCGCACTGGGTGTAAACTGGCCAGAGCTACACAGGAGTGAATGGAGTCATACCAGCTGGGACCTGGCCCCCATCTGTGCAGGGTAAAATGGCAATGTTTCTAATTCCCAGCTCTCAAGCCCCGGGGAGGCACGTGGCCCATCATGCGCCCTGTGCTTGGTTCATCAATTCCATCCACTGTGTGTTGCTATTTACATCTGTGAAAAGAGACTGGGAAATGCACCATCCTGACTGGGCAGTGTTTTACGCCTACTGGGCACTGGTGTAAATGGTGACGTGTGTGGCCAGGGGAAAATCAGGCCCACAAGGACTGGAATATAACTGGAGGGTGTTGCCTGTGGCTGAGGTATTGGCCCTGTAATGGGCTCCCCACGCTCCCTCATGTCTGTCTCTCCACTGTATTTCAAGGGAGCCCGTTACCCTGGTATCTGGGTGCTGACCATGGCCCAGTAAAAGCGGTGTAAGACTTGCACCCGAAGTGACGGTGTTCTCACATGTCTGTGGTTTTGCTGCTTATAGCTGGGGATATTTTTTGTCTCTTGAATACGGTCATCATGGCTCCTGTTACAGTGGGGGGTTTTGCCACAGGGTCAGGTTTCTATTGGGCTCTGAGGCAGGGAATGCCATGCAGGTACTTATAGACTAATCAAGTCACGCCTTAACCTTCTTTTTGTTGAGCTAAACAGATTGAGCTCCTTGAATCTATCCCCATAAGGAAGGTTTTCTAATCCTTTAATTGTTCTTGTGACTGTTCTCTGAACCCTCTAATATATCAACAATTTTCTTTAACTGTGGACACAAGAACTGGATAGAGTAATAGTACCATAAGGGGCATGTCATCAATCAAATCTTGACCTCACCCACTGACCTGTCAGGCCCTGCCCAACTGTCACCCTAAGACCTGCCCCCCTGAGGTATTGCTTCCGGGGTCAAGATGGACACATGACTGGAAGCAAGGGGTGTCATGTGACCCCTCTAATAACTCCTCCCATTGCCCTCTACCAAGCAGCATAGGTTTTGCCCCCATAGGACCACCCTGAGAGGAGATATAACCAATCGCAGGGAATTCAACATGGATTCACCAAGGGCAAATCATGCCTGACCAACCTGATTGCCGTCTATGATGAGATAACTGGCTCTGTGGATATGGAGAAAGCGGTGGATGTGATATATTTTGACTTCAGTAAAGCTTTTGATAAGGTCTCCCACAGTATTCTTGCCAGCAAGTTTAAAAAGTATGGATTGGATGAATGGACTATAAAGTGGATAGAAAGCCGGATAGATTGTCAGCCTCAACGGGTAATGATCAATGGCTTGATGTCTAGTTGGCAGCTGGTATCAAGTGGAGGCCCTAGGGGTCAGTCCTGGGGCCAGTTTTGTTCAACATCTTTATCAGTGATCTGCATGATGGGATTAATTGCACCCTCAGCAAGTTTGCAGATGACACTAAACTGGGGGGAGAGGTAGATATGCTGGAGGGTAAGGATAGCGTCCAGAATGACCTAGACAAATTGGAGGATTGGACCAAAAGAAATCTGATGAGGCTCAACAGGGACAAGTGCAGAGTCCAGCACTTAGGACGGAAGAATCCCATACACTGCTACAAGCTGGGGACTGACTGGCTAAGCAGCAGTTCTGCAGAAATAGACCTGGGGATTACAGTGGATGAGAAGCTGGATATGAGTCAGCAGTGTGCCCTCATTGCCAAGAAGGCCAACGGCAGATTGAGCTATATTCGTAGGAGCATTGCCAGCAGATCGAGGGAGGTGATTAGTCCCCTCTATTCAGCCCTAGGAGACCACACCTGGAGTATTGTGTCCAGTTTGGGGCCATCCACTGTTGGCACCAGGAGATGCTATTACCCCTGAAATGGATCTTTACTGGCTCCCAGTGCAGCAGATTACTGTCATACCAGTGAAAAAGGTCCACAGTAATTATCTTCAATGCACTGCAGTTTATTCGAGAAGGAATTACACAAGTGGTAAAAGGTTACATTAAGCACATAACTCCTATGGTAGTCATTAAGAAGTATACATTAAAAGCTATACATTCCTCTTAATGATTTCTTTTCTCCATGTCTGGTCTCCTCAGCCCTCTGGTCTGTCTTGGATTCCCTCAAGGCAAGGTCTTGGCTACCCTGAAACCCCTCTAGTTCACAGTCCTACTTGAGCCCATGGAGCAGAGTTTTGGCTACTCTGTCTAGCAGCATCTTCAAGAGTCCCAGTCATTTACTTTGCTTGATTCTTATACTCTTTTTCCTCCAAGGAGTCACATGTCTCAAAAACATGCCCAGTGGGCATGTGGTTATTAATTTGATCTGATTAGTATTTTAGAAGAAGCTGGGTGGTGTGATACCGAATGCAGATCACTCCACATTTACTCACTCATCAATCATTCACTCTGGCTCTCTGCGTTGTGTCCTTGCTGTAGGGTCACTATAACTAGGTCGGCCTGAGCTCCACGCTGGAACTTTATGCATGTGATATTTACTTTTGCATGGGCCCATATTTGCCGACCAATAGGTTCAATATTGATTGCACACACAGGCTTTGCCAATCCTTTATCAAATCTGCTTCTGCTTAAAGGGACCCTTCTCCCAGGATCCTCTGCAGCTCTTCAGCCATGTTTAAGTCACATCAAGTTATGCTCACACCATTCGTTCAGCATGGCCACACCAATCTGGCACCATCCCAACAGTCCCCCATTCGATATTCAGTTACCAAAGATAATTGTAATATCACATCAGTCATACCAGCAATTTGTACGCTAACTGTTAGATCATGTGTCTCCTTTTCTGGTTTCTATAAAACTTAAAGCATTGTTTTACAATTATTAGTTGCATAATTCAACAACTCAATCTTATAAGTTTTCCGCAAAGCTTGTTTGGGGAACAATTGGTTACATTATGATGTTCCTGGGTCACTTTAGTTATATTAACCCATGTTTTACCTTTTATATGTTGTATACTCCCTGTATATGAGGCATGGCATCTTAAAGCACATTGATGTTCCTCAGAACATTTTCGTCTAGATATTTCCCATCCCTCAAATCGGGTGTTATGGCAATGTCCCTTCACCATTATCCATTCATTTCCTAATTTCCATTCGAACACGGATTCACTGCCATACCCTAATGAACACGTGGTCTGGGTAAACCAATTACAGTCCCACTGACATATGTCCATATTCTCAGCGATGTTATACAATTTCACACTTGCGCCTATATCTATGGCAGGAACCTCAGTCCCATTTTCAAACCAAACTCCTTGAATTCTACATTCTTGGGGTGCTTTGGTTCAAAGGACCTTTCTTGGGGTACATCTGTTTTCCACAGTTCCCCACTTCTAGTATCGATAATTTGGTATTCGTGAATTCCTGACTTATGTAAACAATTAGTTACACTTGAGATCCATACACATCATTTACTATCTGGATCATATTCCCATTCAACTACCAAAGTGTATTCTTTTGATGTTCCTTGCCAGCCTTTTGTCAATATTTTAGAGTTTCACTCTTGTATCCATACAGAAACACATGCTCTATTTATTACATGAAAGGTCCATATTCCTTGAGTGTCTTTTTTTTTTTGTCCCAAAGGGATTAACAGCTTCTGTTACCATATAGTGCCAAGCTTCTCCATCTCCCACATCCAGTTCTTCCTCCTCATTATAACCTTTACCAGACCTGACCACTCTTTCCAATCTCTGAACCGAGAAATCAGCTGCTTGGATAAAAAGTTGTGTGTTCTCCTTTTCCTTTAATTCTGGGGAGATAAGCGTTGTTGAAACATAACCTTTGGACAATACTACAGAGGACGGCTCTGAACTGTTATTCATAGCAAAGTTCATGCCAGTTGGAACTGTGCCTAAATCTATATTATTCTCAGCAGTTAGGGACCATCTCTGAATTTCCCCTTCTGCTTTTTCAGTTGGTGGAGATTCTGTTATAGTTCTGCGTCCTATAAAAGGTGGAAGTAAGGTGAATGGATGCTCATATCAGAATCCCCATTCTATCCTCCTATACAGATAGTCTCCCGGTTCTACAAATACTGCTTCAAATTCTTCCATGCATCTCCAAATAAGTTGGAGACCATCTTCACAAGAACTTCTTCCTGGTCGGGGATAGGTCCACCACACAGGACCCCTATTCCATAGTCTTGTGACATTCCAGTCCCAAGTCATACATTTTTCCTTTGCTTTAATCACCTCTCCATGAGGGGTGACTGTAACACTCAGTTCTATCTCTCGTTCCTTAACCCATTCAAGATTAGTACCCCCAATTCAAAGGAGAATATCCGTGCTTATCCTTGGTATAAGCCCCTGTTGCTGTTGGAATTGCTTGATCTCACAGCCTCTGGTCACCTCTCCCGTGGGACAGATGGATGGTGATCCAGTAGCCACATGGCAGACGGGCCCATAGATGACCAAACGAAACAGTATGTTCCTTGCTTCCATGGATCAGTCTGTGAAAACAAATAAACAAACAAAGCACAGGCCTCTTACCGGGCCTTATAGGTTAGTACATCTTATATGACGATATACTATTTTATATCTACGCTATATATTCATGAACTATTATACTTACTTTCTTGATGGATACATTTTGATTTGATCAGAATGTCTCCATACATCCCCATTTGGAGTGGCTACCAGAACCACTATAGGACTGGCCACATATTTCACAGGGAATGGTCCTTTCCATGTGGGTTTTAGCTTACCTTTACTTACCAATTCTTTGAGCATCACTTTGTCTCCTATCTTCCATCGGTACCCAGATGGTCCTCTCTCTTCTTCCTTTTGTCTTCGCTGATTTTCTTGTGCCCAAATTTCTTCAAATGTTTGTACCAAATCTGCTATCCAAACTTCCTTCTGCACCCATCAGGTATCTAGGTCAGAGTAGGAATTCAGGAGTCCTCATAGCTCGACCTGTCATTAACTCAAAAGGTGAGTATTACTTCCAGCTTGTACCAAGGCTCTCATGGTCATCAGGATTGCAGGTAAAGCAATTTCCCAATCTCGGCCTTGTGTTTTAATTTGCTTGGTCAAGGTTGTTTTTATTTCTCTATTCTTCCTTTCCACTTTTCCTGCACTCTGTGGGTGGTAGATTATCTGCCATGTCTGTTTGATTCCCATCATCAATAATAATGCTTTTACCATTGCTCCCAGAAAGTGAGGTGCTTGGTCACTATCCATAATCTGGGGTATACCCCATCTGCTTAGTATTTGGGTCTATAAAGCCTGAGCTGTAGTTTGAGCTGTGTTATCTGTTGTGGGGATTACTTCCACCCATCCTGAAAAATCATCTATGACCACCAAGCAAAAGGGTTTTTCCAGTAGGAGTTCTTTTCAAAGGTCCAGTGTAATCCATTTGTAATCTTTGCCATGGGCCCTTAGTGTCAGGTTGGTGTCTCAGTATTTTGTCCTTCCTGCTTTTCGGGTTAACTT